TCAGCTTTTAACCTTGCACTATATAACCATTGATGAATACGGGGTTTGTCTACATCAGCTTGTTTGATACGGGTTGACCATGAATAGGCTTATCTTGCCATCGTTTCTGCATTCCGTATATTGCATTTTCTTTTGTTTTCTTTTTAGGTTCTTTGCCACTGCAGATGGTGCATCATGGCTGTTATGGGACCTTACCCATAATAACATAATGGACTATTCCATACGTAATAAATACTGCGCCTCAAGAGGAAGCAGGGAGTTCAGTCCGAAGTCGGGCGACCGGCTGATCGGTTGAACTCTCTGCCTTCGAGCGGGGAGGAACCCAAATGAGGCTACACCGAAGGGCGGAGTCTCTTTCGGGGAGGAAAACCGACCCTGAAGCCGTTTATACGGGTTCAAAGGGCATATTTTTGCCGAGCCCACGGGCTAGGAGATCCCACGTTAAACCGGCCCTGTGCCACATGATGCCCTCGTGGGGGTGACTAAATACTGTTCGGTCTGAAGTCTGGAGTGAACTCCGTGAGGAGTCTGTCAGTCAGTCAGAGCGAGAGAGTCAGTCAGTCGAGTCAGAGGCAGTTCGAAACAGAGTCGCGTTCAGACAATTACTATTAAACCTGATTGTTCATACTAACACTTCTACTTCTCTGTATATATTCCTGTTTGTAATATATCTGTGTTATTCCATATACGTGATTCGAGTTCTTCTTTATTGGTTCTATCTTGGACTATCACCGTGGTACAAGGAACCGGACCATAACAATGGTTTATTTGCACACACGTGAAATTCCTTTTTAAATTTGTTGGCTTTCTTTATTATTGAATAAAGTTTCTAATTTCTTTTATATTCTTTGACACAAATCATCATCCACTCGTTTTCCAGATAACATTGAAGACCGATTCTTGTGGTTTTGTAAGACCGTTATAGTTGAACTAATCCTCTTCCTCCTTCGGATCTAGACACCTAAAGACGATCAACATCAGCCTTAGGATGGTGCATGCGGTGGCAAGTGAGAAGCTTTTTCGTTTTGGCGTCTATTCGTTTAATGTCAGCTGTGGTCCAATTAAGCATGCTGAAACTGTATTGCACCACAGTGACAGAAAAAAGTGTTTCTGGCTGATATTCTGTTTCGTGAATTCAACTCGGTATTTAACCCCAGACGCACACGCCTGTAGACATTCTTTTCTTTCTTTCTCCTCCATTTGGGTATGCTATATTCCATCTCCTTCGCTGACTCCAACGAATTTATAGGCTTCTTCTTGTTCCAGTTCCCTAATCTTTGTAACAAAATCTAGATCTGTAATTCCCTCTTTCCAGAATGTCACTTTTGCATTTTAATCTAATCCGAAATCCATACCAAGGTCATCACTGAAACATTTTACAATATTGGGCTTACCCTTCAACTCATTGTCGTCCCTGGCAAAGTGTCTGATATCATCCATGTAGAATAAGTAATTAAACATTTTCTTTTTGACATTCTATCAATAGTTATTACTATTCAGTTCAGAGTCTCATTAAATGATTCCTCGTCGGATATTCAAAGAACTGAAAATGGCAGTACCTTTTGTGTGATTTAGATATAATATCCTTTACCACAGTTGCATGCTATATTTAAGGAAATTTACTATCAATGAGGAGACATTTCCAAAGCCTTACGGATTCAAGGGTGTTACGCAGCATCAAAGGCATTATTATTATTATTATTATTATTAATCAAGAGTGGTCTCCCCTTGTTTTGTTACTCTCCTCTTTGAGAGAGCTATTTCTGTTTACTGAGTCTATAAAAGGACACTATACGCGAACCGTTTATTCTCAGTTGAATAAAGCTTTCTTAAAGCCTTCACCTGTGTAGTTTTGTCCTATAGATAGATAGATAGATAGATAGATTGTGTTATGAATAATCAAAAGTGGTCTCGCCTTGTTTCGTTACTCTCCTCTTTGAGAGAGAGATATTTCTGTTTACTGGGACTATAAAAGGACACTACACGCGAACCTTGTATTCTCACTTGAATAAAAAATTTGTCATTATAGATAGATAGCTACATAGATAGTCTTATGAATAATCAAAAGTGGTCTTGCCTTGTTTCGTTACTCTCCTCTTTGAGAGAGATATTTTTGTTTAAGTGCTCGAATCGACGTCCCTGCTTTTTTTTTTTAATAGTACAACTGACCTCTACCGTTCTTCGCATTGTAAAGTCTTAATAAAGAAAATGTAATGGGGGACGAACCTGGGCCCTCTTGAAGAGGAAACAACCTTCAGGTCTCATGTGCTTTAAACTGTTCAGTCACGAAAGTTTTCACAGCAAAGCCATGCTTGATTATCATTTTTTAAGAAAGACAAATCTTCCGTTACGGCATTTCGAAGCCTTTAGGTGTTAACTTTATTTTCGTATTTAAAACATAAACAAAGTAATTTTTTTTTTACACTAAGGTACACCCTGTACAAGGCCCGGGGACACTTGCGATAGATTTTTTTTTTTCTTTCCTTCTCTTTCTTTCTTT